CTAGTAATGTATTCGAATTCGATAAAAAAGTTCTACGAACTAAATAAGTGGATAATGTCAATTGTGTGCAATAAAAATCTAAATTTTGTTTTCGTTTATACGCGTCAAAATTATTAGTGCCATATTTATTCTAGTAATGTATTCGAATTCGATAAAAAAGTTCTACGAACTAAATAAGTGGATAATGTCAATTGTGTGCAAATAATAAAAATCTAAATTTTGTTTTCGTTTATTAATGTATTCGAATTCGATAAAAAAGTTCTACGAACTAAATAAGTGGATAATGTCAATTGTGTGCAAATAATAAAAATCTAAATTTTGTTTTCGTTTATACGCGTCAAAATTATTAGTGCCATATTTATTCTAGTAATGTATTCGAATTCGATAAAAAAATTCTACGAACTAAATAAGTGGATAATGTCAATTGTGTGCAAATAATAAAAATCTAAATTTTGTTTTCGTTTATACGCGTCAAAATTATTAGTGCCATATTTATTCTAGTAATGTATTCGAATTCGATAAAAAAGTTCTACGAACTAAATAAGTGGATAATGTCAATTGTGTGCAAATAATAAAAATCTAAATTTGTCAATTGTGTGCAAATAATAAAAATCTAAATTTTGTTTTCGTTTATACGCGTCAAAATTATTAGTTAATTGACGTTTCTATATTTTCTATATTTTTCTATATCTTAATTTGACGTTTCTATATATTTTTTTCTATATAAAACACCATATAAATTTGGGAAAACCACAATGCAATACACAACAAAAGAACAAAGAAAGGAAGAACCAAGAGCGGTAACGGCAAGGAGTGCCCCGACAACAATGATTGGCTATCCCTCTCCTGTGGCGACCCAAGAACTTAATAAATTTATTAATTTCGCGATTTTATTCATTTTTCACATTTTTCGTTCACACATTTTTTGTTCACACATTTCTTTGTTTAGTTTGGTTTAATTACCCAAGTTTAAGGTGCTATAATAAAATATTATATTAAAACTTTTGTCTTCGTTTTATTAATTGTCAGCAACCCAAATACTTAATTTGACGTTTCTGATATCTGGAGCCCCGTACGGGTCAAAGAAAAAAGAAGTAAAAATACCAAAGAAAAAAGAAGTAAAAATACAAAACCAAATTCAACCAAAGCAAGAAGAAAGAAGTAAACCAAAGTGGCCATGTCCATTTTGTAACCTTAATCATTGGTCAACGGATTGTAGAAAAATCCCAACAGCAGAAGAAAGATACAAACTAGCAAGAGAAAAGAATAACAGCAATGATTATTAAACAAGCACACATAGACATGAAACATTCAGGTACAAACATAGTTCTTGCAAAATTAAGAGAAAAATATTGGATACCACAAGCAAGAAGAACAATCAGAGCTACAATATTCAATAAAAAGAATGAATTATACTGCATCACATGTTCAAAGAAGAACACAAAAGCATATCAACTACCCAATCCACCTGACTTACCTACTTATAGAATAGAAGATAAATTCGAAAAACCATTTAGTTCAATTGGGTTGGACAACTTTGGACCATTCATAGTTAAATATAAAAATCAACAGTCAAAAATATGGGGTTTGATTTTCGTATGCACAAGAATTAGAGCAATACACATTGAAGTTGTGTTCGACTTAACCGCAGATGAATTTTTAGCTGCGTTTACTAGATTTATCTCAAGAAGAGGAGTACCAAAAATAATCGTATCAGACAACGCAAAAACATTCAAAAAAGCAAATAAAGCCATAAGCCAACTTTGGCAAAGGCCAAAAGAAGCAAACGACACACTTTCTAATAAAGGAATAGAATGGTATTTTAATACGGAAGCAGCACCTTGGCAAGGCGGGTTATTTGAAAGAACAATACAAATGGTAAAAAACCCGTTAAGTAAAACAATTGGAAGAAGAATATTAAAATTAAGTGAAATGATTACATTACTTACAGAAATCGAAAAGTATGTAAACGAAAGACCACTCACATATATTTCAGAAAATGAAATAAATGAAGTAATAACACCATGGAAAATTTTAGTACCATACCCAGACAATGAATCAATTTTGAAAATAGATGAAGAAGAAGAAGAATATATTCCAAAAGGAGACACAAGAGCAGAATTGATAAAAAGATACACACAGAATAGAAGTTTAGCTAAACATTATTGGGAATTATGGAAGAAAGAATACTTACCATCTCTACTAGAAAGACAAAGAAGAAATAGAGAAAATAATCAACCTCCTAAAGTGGGAGAGCTCACTTTGATAGAGCAAAGTGAGGGAAAAAGAAATCAGTGGAAGTTAGGAAAAATCGAGAAGCTATACACAGGGGCCGACAACAAAATTCGCAGCGCCTTAGTAAAAGTTCAAGGAAAATTTCTGAAAAGACCAATTAATAAACTTTACAATTTAGAAATAAATGAAATAAATAATCAAAATATTAACCCAAAAACAATAGGGATAAATACTAATGATAAACTAAATCATATTTATAGTATCTATTCAAAATTTCAGGCAATGGAAGACGTTTCGCTTGCGGGCAGCGACGACGAGCAATGGGTGGGCGACGAAGAGTTCCGAGGGGACCAAGCCTCCTTTGGCCAGGACCCCGAGGACCCATCATCATGGCAGGATATGGCCGAGTACCAGGATGCGAACCTCGAAAACGGCACGCTTGAATCGGATGAGTGGGGGTTATTCACGATCTGCAACCCCGGACAACCAGGGCACAGAAGATGCGAGGCCCTGCTGACAACAAACTTCCAGCATATGGAAGAGGAAAGAGAAAGCGTTATTCCATCAATTTTCCATTTAATCTTGGTTCTATGGGCAACGGTGCACGGCAAGGTTGAAGAGAAGATAAAGTTGTGGGTTAGAAGATTTTGCGAGACACCACCTTCGGAGGAACTGTTGCGGATGGCCCGGCAGGCAAGGCAGGAGATGGGAGGACAAATCAAGATCGGGTGGAAAAAATCGGATATCCCTGCCAGCCACGAGAAATGGAGGAAGAGAACGAAGGGAATAGGACAGAAAGACCTCGTATGGTGGACTCTAACGGAATTGCAAGAAGCGCTGAAGGTCTGGCGAATCTACTGCAAAGGGGCCGCAAATCCCATAGAAAGGAACAACTACGTCGCAATCAGACCAGAGTCGGTACGAGAACATATCGAAGACGAAGGGCTAGATGAATTAGTTCAAATGATGGAGGGAAGTGTTATGAAGCTAGCCAATCGGATGAAGGCAAAATTTTTCATTGGAGATGCGCATATGGTAGAGGCGAAGAAGGTTCATATCACCGAGGAATACTGTGCTGAAATTGGACGTAATCTGGGAGCCTACACGCTCATTCCGAAGAGCGCGGAACATCTAACAACCCTCTTCTATTCGCCGATAACCGATTGGGTCATCATCTCGCTAGGGACGTCACATATTCTGAGAGAAACACCTTGGGAGGTATTCAGTCGCGACACCACTCCATTCATTAACATTTTGAGCCTCCTTTGGCGCAATGTTGTTTGGATCCTCCCACCAACTAAAGTCACGGCCGTCCGAAAGGATTATGAGAAGGGATTCAAGAAGTTAATGAAGGACGCCCGCGAAACCGAATCAACGTTCCGGATGATCATCGCACCCAACAACCAAGACTGGATCAACTGCCACGGCTTCCTAACAGAAAGTGGAGCAACCGCGGTGACACGACTAGTCGAGGAAATGATGTCATACAATTGGCAGCCTCCCGTGGATGACACACCAAGCACGTCCGACAGGCCGACCTTAGAAAGCAGGTTGCAAAACATCTTTCATATTCAAACAACTGCAGCAGGGACCTCTTCCGAAGTCCCTCCAAGCCCTCTTGGGCCGGAGGCGACAGAAGAATATCCCCAATATTATGGAAATCTCATCACCAACTATTGGATGACTCGGGATGAGAATGGTTTTTCCGCCGACTTAGATCTCGTCGCAACTGATTGGTTGCTCAGTGAAGAAAAAAGAGAAGAGAAGAAGAAGTTGGCTAGAAAAATAGAACGAATTATATCTGAACGATGGGGAAGAGCGAGAGTTCACATGTACGGAAGTTCAGCCGCAGAATTAGATTTGAAGGATAGTGACCTGGATATCACAGTGCTGCCCGAGAGAGCAAGGCATGGCGAAGTGACAACGGAGATAAAAAGAAGAGAACTGGCATCAATTCAACGACACTTGTGGGCTTCATGCCGGCAGGAGGCTTGGTTCGATCATTGTTTCCGAATCTTTTCCCGCAACGTACAAATCATTCGCATCAAAACAGAAGAGCTAGAAATCGATGTTTCATACGCGGGCACCAAAGTAATAGAAAGCGCCAAATGGCAGAAGGAAAACATCAAGGGGCAGCGTTTGGGGACATTAAGCACCATCCTGAAAATCTGGTCCAAAGGGAAAGGTCTGAATGACTCCACTCATCATTTCTTGAATAGCTACGCATGGAACATTATGTTGGCTCACTTCCACAGCAGGACCCATCATTTGAAAAAAGATACGGCTTGGAAACTCCTCGCCTTTTTCGACTACTTTGCTAGCTTCCCCTACCAGGGGATGGTCATCACAGCAGAAGGAATGGAGCGAAGAACGCCAGAAGATGGGACCCAACCAATTTTTGTGCGAGACCCAACAGACGACAACAACAACGTAGCTAGAAATGTAACAAGCGAGACGTTAAGAAAAACTACGACCACCATGGGCAGACAACGGGACAGGTTCATCTGGCCTGCCGCGCGTCCTTCTTTGGACCTGCTAGGAATTGCAAGCCCTCCTGGGCCGCAGAATAGAGGCAAGAAAAGACTTTATTGGACCTTACTCTTACTAATTTTATTAATTTCCAAGTTCAGATGGACCGTCGGGCAGTCGGCAATGATGTGCAATGAGGTGGCCCCCGCAAGAGAGATCGACTTACAACACCGAGGTATGTCTTGTTCAGAGTGGTTACCGGGTACCAAGGTCAAATTAAGACTGCAAGTGTATCGGGTAAATACGGAAGCCAGGGAAGTCAAGGCAAGTAGGTGTGTCATTATAAGACAGAAGGTAGAGTACTGGGAAAACTTAATCGGGGAAGGAAGGAATGTGACCACCAGCGAGACACTCCCGATTTCGAAAGAAGAGTGTCTCAGGATGACAGAGACCAACCACTGCCAATACGGACCGCTCACTGCAAATGAAGGAATCAAACGGACTCTGAACGATTTCAACCCAACAATAGACTACAGCTATTTCTCCACACAGCATAGTCAACGAACAAACTGTTTCCAAACGGACTGTAAACTATATTTTGATCCATCCACCGAAGCACTTCACTCGCCAATCGACAACATGGCCAAGTGCTCACTAGAGGATGAAGAATGCCCGACCGAAGGAGGATCACTAATCGTCTGGAAGAAACCCACAGAGGAAGTAAGATGCAAGTACACGTATCTCGCCACTTGGCACGGAGATTATTACCCAACCGAAAAAATTTGGACCAAAGAAGATCTGGCCTTATCGTTCACGTCAGACCCTCAAACAAAAGAAGACTGTGGACACGACTACGTAATGTCAGACCAAGGATACTTGATAAAACAAGAAGTATTCGACAGAATCACGAGAATACGAAGCAAAAGAGCGACAGTCAAAACCGAGCAACTTGCAAGCCAGCTCACAGCGGCGCAACTCAATGGCATAACCAAATTAAAGACTACAGTCTGTTGGTTGCTGAACACTGGCCTACATAGGCTCCCGTTCACGGCCATGGACGCCACAACAATAGCTCGAAACCTATTCCAACAAGACTTAATCGAAGCACGATGGATAACCAACAGCGGGCGAAACCTCCTGGAGGTAAAGAAGTGCATTCGAATAGAAAAGAAGAACGTGCAATTCCTACCTAACGAAGAGAAGAACTGTTTCAAGTTTCTACCAGTCAACATCAGTATATACGACAACTATTTCCAAGCATACTTAGATCCAGTATCACTAATAATTCGAGAGGAGTCAAAAAATGGAAGTTGTAAGAAATACCGAAGACAAACAATGCTTTGGGAAGGAGAACTACTCACAATAGACCAAATTGAAGGACACGTAGTCAATCACCCACAAGCCGAAACAATAACGCTAGACCAACTAAACGGCTCGAGCTTACCAACTTTGGACACGCTCATCTTCAAGAATTTAGAATTAACGAACGACTCCGACCCAACAATCAGGTTGCTAGCTTCATTTCGAACCTTCGCCAGAGGACAACACATGCAAGCAATCATGAGTGACAAAAGTACGACAGAAAATTACGAACCCCAACGGTTCGACTACACCTTCAGCTTAACACAATGGATGTCTTGGGAAACTGCGTTCAAACTTACGTTCGTATACAACATTCTATCCATACTATACTTGTACATACTCCCATGGGGAATAAAGAAGATACTACAGCGCACCAATCTGATCGAGGCCACACACAATAATGAAGCAACAAGAAGACATCCGATAATCCGGATACAAGAGGGAAAAGAAGAGCCAACTCTAGAAACAATTTCAACACCCGACACCCTCAGTAGATACGAGCTAAACCGAATCTCAACACGAGTGATGCGGAAGTTAAAGGACAGGGACCAAACTAAGGTCCAATTCCTGAGGGAATAGCTACGACGTGGGGAGTGTCGGGAACGCCCGAGACACGAGACTCGGGCGTTCCCGGGTAAAAATAAAATTTTTATTTTGTTTTTTATTCTTTTGTCAGTCGGTGTGAAAAAAGTGAATCACCGACCAATCAATTCACATTCCTTTTTATTTTTGTGTAAAAATTTTTCTTTTTATAAAAAATGTTTTTTCTTTTAATAAAAGTTTTTTATTTAGCCTTCTTTGGCCTACAATCTTTTCCCCTCATCTTTTAACAACAACATTCCCACAATAATTTTGTAATGTAAATAACTTATTTTTAAAAGAAGATATAATCATTTACCCCCACTATTTAAAGAAGCACACTCCTCCCAACAACACTTCACTCTTTCCTCATCCCACTTGGGACAGCAACACACCACAACAGGCGCTCCTTGCCGGAACCGTTCCCTAGCCTTCTTTGGCCGAGAGAGCGGTAACGGCAAGGAGTGCCCCGACAACAATGATTGGCTATCCCTCTCCTGTGGCGACCCAAGAACTTAATAAATTTATTAATTTCGCGATTTTATTCATTTTTCACATTTTTCGTTCACACATTTTTTGTTCACACATTTCTTTGTTTAGTTTGGTTTAATTACCCAAGTTTAAGGTGCTATAATAAAATATTATATTAAAACTTTTGTCTTCGTTTTATTAATTGTCAGCAACCCAAATACTTAATTTGACGTTTCTGATACCATATTTATTCTAGTAATGTATTCGAATTCGATAAAAAAGTTCTACGAACTAAATAAGTGGATAATGTCAATTGTGTGCAAATAATAAAAATCTAAATTTTGTTTTCGTTTATTAATGTATTCGAATTCGATAAAAAAGTTCTACGAACTAAATAAGTGGATAATGTCAATTGTGTGCAAATAATAAAAATCTAAATTTTGTTTTCGTTTATACGCGTCAAAATTATTAGTGCCATATTTATTCTAGTAATGTATTCGAATTCGATAAAAAAGTTCTACGAACTAAATAAGTGGATAATGTCAATTGTGTGCAAATAATAAAAATCTAAATTTTGTTTTCGTTTATACGCGTCAAAATTATTAGTGCCATATTTATTCTAGTAATGTATTCGAATTCGATAAAAAAGTTCTACGAACTAAATAAATGGATAATGTCAATTGTGTGCAAATAATAAAAATCTAAATTTTGTTTTCGTTTATACGCGTCAAAATTATTAGTGCCATATTTATTCTAGTAATGTATTCGAATTCGATAAAAAAGTTCTACGAACTAAATAAGTGGATAATGTCAATTGTGTGCAATAAAAATCTAAATTTTGTTTTCGTTTATACGCGTCAAAATTATTAGTGCCATATTTATTCTAGTAATGTATTCGAATTCGATAAAAAAGTTCTACGAACTAAATAAGTGGATAATGTCAATTGTGTGCAAATAATAAAAATCTAAATTTTGTTTTCGTTTATTAATGTATTCGAATTCGATAAAAAAGTTCTACGAACTAAATAAGTGGATAATGTCAATTGTGTGCAAATAATAAAAATCTAAATTTTGTTTTCGTTTATACGCGTCAAAATTATTAGTGCCATATTTATTCTAGTAATGTATTCGAATTCGATAAAAAAGTTCTACGAACTAAATAAGTGGATAATGTCAATTGTGTGCAAATAATAAAAATCTAAATTTAGTTTTCGTTTATACGCGTCAAAATTATTAGTGCCATATTTATTCTAGTAATGTATTCGAATTCGATAAAAAAGTTCTACGAACTAAATAAGTGGATAATGTCAATTGTGTGCAAATAATAAAAATCTAAATTTGTCAATTGTGTGCAAATAATAAAAATCTAAATTTTGTTTTCGTTTATACGCGTCAAAATTATTAGTGCCATATTTATTCTAGTAATGTATTCGAATTCGATAAAAAAGTTCTACGAACTAAATAAGTGGATAATGTCAATTGTGTGCAAATAATAAAAATCTAAATTTTGTTTTCGTTTATTAATGTATTCGAATTCGATAAAAAAGTTCTACGAACTAAATAAGTGGATAATGTCAATTGTGTGCAAATAATAAAAATCTAAATTTTGTTTTCGTTTATACGCGTCAAAATTATTAGTGCCATATTTATTCTAGTAATGTATTCGAATTCGATAAAAAAGTTCTACGAACTAAATAAGTGGATAATGTCAATTGTGTGCAAATAATAAAAATCTAAATTTTGTTTTCGTTTATACGCGTCAAAATTATTAGTGCCATATTTATTCTAGTAATGTATTCGAATTCGATAAAAAAGTTCTACGAACTAAATAAATGGATAATGTCAATTGTGTGCAAATAATAAAAATCTAAATTTTGTTTTCGTTTATACGCGTCAAAATTATTAGTGCCATATTTATTCTAGTAATGTATTCGAATTCGATAAAAAAGTTCTACGAACTAAATAAGTGGATAATGTCAATTGTGTGCAAATAATAAAAATCTAAATTTGTCAATTGTGTGCAAATAATAAAAATCTAAATTTTGTTTTCGTTTATACGCGTCAAAATTATTAGTGCCATATTTATTCTAGTAATGTATTCGAATTCGATAAAAAAGTTCTACGAACTAAATAAGTGGATAATGTCAATTGTGTGCAAATAATAAAAATCTAAATTTTGTTTTCGTTTATTAATGTATTCGAATTCGATAAAAAAGTTCTACGAACTAAATAAGTGGATAATGTCAATTGTGTGCAAATAATAAAAATCTAAATTTTGTTTTCGTTTATACGCGTCAAAATTATTAGTGCCATATTTATTCTAGTAATGTATTCGAATTCGATAAAAAAGTTCTACGAACTAAATAAGTGGATAATGTCAATTGTGTGCAAATAATAAAAATCTAAATTTTGTTTTCGTTTATACGCGTCAAAATTATTAGTGCCATATTTATTCTAGTAATGTATTCGAATTCGATAAAAAAGTTCTACGAACTAAATAAGTGGATAATGTCAATTGTGTGCAAATAATAAAAATCTAAATTTTGTTTTCGTTTATTAATGTATTCGAATTCGATAAAAAAGTTCTACGAACTAAATAAGTGGATAATGTCAATTGTGTGCAAATAATAAAAATCTAAATTTTGTTTTCGTTTATACGCGTCAAAATTATTAGTGCCAATTTATTCTAGTAATGTATTCGAATTCGATATAAAAGTTCTACGAACTAAATAAGTGGATAATGTCAATTGTGTGCAAATAATAAAAATCTAAATTTTGTTTTCGTTTATACGCGTCAAAATTATTAGTGCCATATTTATTCTAGTAATGTATTCGAATTCGATATAAAAGTTCTACGAACTAAATAAGTGGATAATGTCAATTGTGTGCAAATAATAAAAATCTAAATTTTGTTTTCGTTTATACGCGTCAAAATTATTAGTGCCATATTTATTCTAGTAATGTATTCGAATTCGATAGAAAAGTTCTACGAACTAAATAAGTGGATAATGTAATTGTGTGCAAATAATTAAAATCTAAATTTTGTTTTCGTTTATACGCGTCAAAATTATTAGTGCCATATTTATTCTAGTAATGTATTAGAATTCGATATAAAAGTTCTACGAACTAAATAAGTGGATAAT